GATGTGCTCCCCTGCTCCCGGGGAGATGTGGGTGAGCTGCTGTGGCCCCAGGCACAGAGGAGCTGCCTGGGTGAGCTGCAGAGGTGCTCTCCTGCTCCCTGACCCAGTCCTTGAGGCACCAAAGCAATACTAAATTCTAGAAAGGCTAATTAGGAAGCTGGCCCCGGCCTGAAGGGTTAAAGGATAGTTAAGCCACATACCAAGCCAAGGACTCGATCCTCCCTAAAAGTTCCCATTAGAAGCCGAGATAAAAATAGTTACCAAGGTCTGAGCTCCTGCAGGTGGCAGAGTGTTTACTCTGAAAGAGCATCCAAACGGCCTTGTAGGAATGTGGGGAGGGGTGCTATTCAGCAAAATCAACAGTGCCTGTATATATGGAGCTGGAAAAATAAACTCGGGGCTGGGGGCTGGCAGCCGGCAACAGGCATGAGCTGCAGCCCTCCCGATCCCATCTTTTTTGTGTCTATCTTTTCTCCATCCTCACCCCTTCCTCAGGACCGTTCAACTCTGCCGGCGGGCTCCGGCATTGGCCAGAGTTAGTTCCATTACTAAGATGACTGAGAGGCATCACAGCTGAGTTCTAGAATACACGTCTCTGTGTTAAGCCCTCTCAACCAGCATTTATTGAAAGTCTACTGTTTACAAGGCACTGTACCAGATCTGTGCTGTGAGAACCAGCAAAATTTTGACAAGAGAAGAAGGGGTGAAACATTACAAGATAAGAGAACAGCAGAAAAGCAGAGATATAGGGAACTGAAATAAATACAATTTTACTGCAGAATAAGGCACAGAAAAGTACAGTCAATCCTCAATAAATGTTTGCTGAATTGATATTAAATTAGATATAAGACCAGACAGACAAGTTGAAGACCAATCATAAATGGCTTAGAATGATAAAATAAGGAATTCAGTGTTCACTCTCCTCAGAATGGGGGCTACTGAAGGTTTTTGAGCAGAAGAGCCCTATTACATGAATTGTGTTTTAGAAAGAACACTAACATCTCAGCCAGGCCTCGTGAATGCTCATCTTATCAATGGGCTGAAATTCCTGTTTTCGGTATAGTATTTCTGTTTCTAACTAATCTGTTTCTACTTACCAGCCCACTGCACAGAAAGCAGAAGGTTTTGCTTCAGTGTCAAAATGACACTTCTGTATGACTATACTCAAACAACAGCAATATCTGCAAATGCTCTATATTAGATAATTTCATCTTCTGGTCTGGATCTAAACAAAATTAATTTGGGGTTAACAGTGTTTCTACACTACCTGAGGCAGATATGCTATTAGGACAATGTTAAAACTGAGAAACTGTTAAGTGCCTTCTTGTACTTTTAGCTAATGAAGACAACCCAAGTTCCACTTAACGTGCCTTATAAGACATTCCATAGCATAAGAAATCTTGTTATATGCAATCCTGTTACCGTGAAGTGTAATTTTAAATACAGACTCTAAAACCCGATTTAGAAACGCTGTACTTTATTTTCCAACCACACAAATAACAAAGTATGTATGGTACTGCTATAAACACCATTCCCTGGTAGTAGTAACCTAAACATAAAAGCGGACCTGCTTATCTGGCTAGTAACTATTAACATGGCCATTTGCAGTAATAAAACAACCCAAAAACAAACGTATTAGGGAAAAGTCAAGCGAAAAGCAAAATAATTTTATCCAAACAAATCAGCTGTCTTTAAATAAAAAGTTTTTTCTTTCCTTTCAAATAAAGAAAACCCACACATTGCAGCAATAAAAGCACCTGCCACTAACACCAGTCGTAGTGACAGCATGCCATGGAGCCGGAAAACAGACAAGTTACCGATTCATAGGTCAAAGTATTTTCTCAGGCCCGTCCTGCCCCGTGCACAGCGAGCCGGGAGCTCTCACCAGCCTGGGCAAGCTGGAGGAGCCAGGAGCTCCTGCAGGACTCCAGCAGCCAGCTTCCGAGCGTCCACAGGCACCTGCCTGCCTGCAGCGCGTGCCCACCGCGGCTTCCAGGTGGGAGCACGTGCCAGCACACGCACCAGTGTCCTGCGGGCGGCAACTGGGCGAAGCCCCCTCAGGCACACTCCCCAAGGCTGGGGTTAGGGAACTGGGGGGCAGGAGGGGGGCTGCCTCTGCCCTGCCGGCCCGCAGCCACCCGCGCGCCCCTCCCGCCGCGCCCGGTACTCACAGCTCTGGTCTCGTACAGGACCAGCTTCTGCACAGAGCTGATGATGGGGGCGGCGGCCACCGGCATGGCCGGAGCAAGCGGGGGTCCCCACGCCCGGGGGGCACAGGCCGCGGCCCAGGTTGCGGCGGCCTCCGGGCCGCCCCAGGAGACCCAGAAAGAAGCCTCCTCGGACCCGAGGCACGAGGTCCAGCCGGGAAAAAAACGCCTCCCGGGGGCTACAGAGAAAGATAAGTATACAGAGGACTGGCCACGGCTCAGGTGTTTCCGGATCCTGACGCCCCACCTCCAGGCAAGCCCCGCCCCAGGATCAGCGGAGCGGGGCGGGGCTGGAGGATAGACCATAGAGAGGCCGGGTAGAGATTCCCAGAAACTGCGTGAGGCCGGGAAGGGGCGGGGAGGGCGCCATCTTTGGTGCGGGCAGGAGGAAAAGTGGGCGGAGGAGGTCGGCCAGTGAGTTGAGTCTCGGTTATCTGGTTCTCTTTGGAAAGAGGGAAGGTTGGGGACTGGATGGCTTCTTTTGCAGCGCTTCTCCGAGTTGCAGATAGATCCAACCCCAAGGTGGCTTGTTTTCCCCCCTACTTCTGCCTTTCTTTCCCTAGAAACCGGCTTGTCGGTGTTTTCCCCCTCACATCTCTTTGTTGTCTGTTTTACCCTTATCCTCAGAAGGTGTGTGGTTCCAGGATTTTTTTTTTTTTTTTTAACCACCTAAAGTGAGGAATTTTGGATTTTTCACGTGTCTGTGCCGGAGGCTAACCCTTTGTGATTTCTACAAATGGACTCTCGAGGGTAGAGCGGCGCAGTGTCGTGCGGCCCTGGCTTCGGAGTCAGGCACTTGTGCGTTAAAATAAGGTTTCTTCCGTTTGGTGTGTGTGAACGTGAATGCGCAGGGCAGGCACCCGCTCTGATAGTCGCCTTCCGTATTTGTGAGAAGCGGTGTGTTATCATTGTGAATACAAAATTAGGTACAAAAGTGAATAAAGTAAAAAAATAAATGAATTGCGATCCCAGTGCAGATGCCCCGCCCCCGAGCTCGCGCCAGCGTCCCCGCGCGCCGCGTCGCCAGGGGTTCCCCGGGCAACCGCTCAACAGCTCCCAGCCTCCCCGGCGCGGCCGCAGCCCACCAGCAGGGTCCGCGGGGGTCCGCTGCGGCCAGGTAAGCAGGGTGGTAGTCCGTTCAACCGATGCATTTTGGTACAGATTGAATGGAATCCCACCTCCTGCTGCAGCCCCAGACCAGTTCCTTTTCTTGCGAAACTAAACTTCGAAATCTCCATAAATTCCGCTTTTTAAAACCACTTCCTCTTTCAGAGACTGATGTTTTCTTTCCACAGATATTTACTGAGCACCTGCCATGAGAACGTAGGATGTATTGGAGTGGCAGCTAACTTAGCTTAAGCAGAGTGCTAGATTTTCCAGGAGTTGGACCCCCTGTAAACCTCAGGACCCATTGCTAGAAGGTTTTTCAACTGCTAAAATTGTAAGGAAACTTTAAAATTTTGTATTGAATTATAGTATAAACACATAATATGTTATTAGAGATGATATTGTAAATTCAAAATTGAGAAATTACAGAACTTTTAAAATAAGTAATTAAATTTTTTTTTTTCACAGTTTGTATTCCTTGTATTAAAAACTAGATAGGTGACCATGTCAGTTCTGGCATTTTGCATTGAGTTGGATCTTTTAACTGGGAAAATATTTAGTTATGTTCCATTTATAATGGAAACCAACTCTTCTGAAAATGAGTTCAATATTTGCACAATGTTTTTATTTAGGATAACAACTCTTAAAATATCTGTTGAATTATGGTTTTCCAATATTTAGTTTTCAATTATTATACTATAATTAAGCACTTCCATTTGAACTTTGTTTTAGTTTGGTTCAGCCAGAAACAGATCCTGAGACAAAAATTTGAGTACAAATAGTTTATAGGGGGAATAGTACAAATAGTTTATATGCTGAAAACAACAGCAGGGAAGTGAAGGAAGCTATTAAAGGGAATATCATCAAGCAGATTTCTCTGTGGGGTGAATTCAGTTGGACATATGTATGTCTCAGTTATTTCTTAAGGGTAAAGGAGCTGGGGTATTTGTTCATCAACCGCCACCAGTTATTGGCTGAATGTTAACCCCCTGGAACTTCCAGTCTGCCCTGTTCTTAGGCAGATAGGCTTTAACAGCCGGAAAAAGCCCTTAGGCAGAGTCACACAGTTGGAAGTGGGGCTGGCCATGCATGGAAAAGATGTATGTCAAGTAGGTATAAGCAGGGCACTAATAACATCTGCTCTTTTCCAACCTTTGCACCATTCATATGTACTCCTCCCCTATATTAAGTTCACACAATCTATCACTTATTCTTCAGTGTGGTTTCTGGTCCCAATTTCTAAAAGAAATGGATTCACAAAAAGATGATTAGCAGGACAATCTACAGAATCCACTACTGCAATTAATCCTAAATCTGTAACTGATAATTCATCACTTCCCTCCTCTACCACCCATTCTAAATTTCCCTTACCTTTGGTCAGCATTTCTGCTGGTCTAAATTGTTTTACCAGTAGGGTAACCAGTCTCATTCATCACTGAATGGTGTAAACCCCTGGTTATCATGTCCTTTTCAGGTTGTGGTTGCTATAGTTATCAATTCACTGGGTATGAAAACATAAAGAGTCTCAGAGAATCCCCTGTTTTCAAGACATACATCTCCCTGCCCCAATTATGTAGCATCAGCTCTACCTCCACCAGTGTAAAAACTCCTTAACAGGTAGGTGGAGCCAAATATGACCAGGTGGAAGCAGCAATTTTAGGTTTAATGAAACCTAGTTAAGTGGGTCCCTTAAAAGAAGCATCTCTTTCTTCAGTCAAAACCAGGACTTCCAGTTGAGCAGAGCCTCAAGCTGTGAAGAAGGTTGGTGCAAATTCCTCATGTCAATCACAGAGTGATAGTGGGAGGAATCACTCTTACCCAACACTTGGTTGAAAGCATATTCTTCATCTTTTCAGTACGATATCTCAATCCCACATAATCCTAAACTGTTGCTTTAGCTGTTTCTTTAAGAGGCCATTTTAACAATCTGTCAGACCAGCAGCTTCTAGGTGATCTGGTATGTGGTAGGATCAGTGGATCCTCCTTATATCTTCATTACTATATAAAGAGGGTCCTTTGATCCAAAGAAGCATTACATGGGATCCCATGATGATGATAACAACTCCAGTCCTTAGAAAGTGGTACTTGCCAAGGCATTGCAGGTAGGAAAGGCAAACTCATACTAGAAACACATGTCACCTGCTGACCTCTCCAAGGTGAAGGGGTCCTGTGTAATCAGTTTGTCACTGAATGGAAGTATATTAAGGACTCAGCCTCAGTCTCTGCTGCAATAAGTAAGACAGCCAACAAAAATAGTAGCTAGATCAGCCTGATGAGAGGGAGGCTTGTTGAGCCCGTGCATAGCCTCCATTGCCTCCATCCCTGATACCATGCTTACTCCATTTTTGAGCCCATTAGGCAAACACTGAGGTGACCAAGGACAAAGACTAGGTGGCATTTACTGGATAATCATCCTGTCCACCTGGTTAATGAGTGCCTCTTCTGAGATGGATGCTTTGTGAGATGCAAAACTTCACACATATTGTGTGTTCATCTGTGTTAGTTTTCTATGTGACATAACAAATTACCACAACTTTAGCATTTTAAAACAACTTATTTATTATTTCTCAGTTTCCATGTCCAGAAGTCCTGGCATAGCTTAGCTAGGTCCTCTGCTCAGGGTTTCACAAGGCTGCGCTCAAGGTGTTGGCTGAGCTGCATTTTTATCTGGGGGCCCAACTATGGAAGAATCCACTTCCAAGCTAATTCACACTTGACAAAATTTTTCTCTAGGACTGAGGTACCAGTTTTCTTACTGGGGGTGGCCAGTGGCTGCTCTCAGCTTCTGGAGGCCACCTACTGTTCCTTGCCATGTGGTCCTTTTATAACATAGCAACTTATTTCTTCACAGCCAACCAGCAAGTTCCTCTCTAGTCAACTAAGATGGAGTCTTATGTAACATAATGTTATCATGGGAGTGACATGTCTATTACTTTTGCTATATTTAGAAGCAAGTCACAGACTGCAGTCAAAGGAAGAGAATTACACAAGGGTGTGACTCGTTAGAGGTCACCTTAGAGTGTTCGCTATACCACTCTCCTAAGTCCATTCACATGCTCTTCTCACAAACTTTTTATCTTCCAATCTTGTTCCTTCCAGGCCCTTGACCAAGTGAATTAGGACCCACTCTAGGTATCCTACCAGGCTATTAAAGCATAAGTCATGGAAGAAAACCCACACATCAATAAACTCTTATCCAGTCAACATTCCCCTACCCAACACTCTCAAGATCTCTCAGGGTATTCTCCTAGTTCCTATTGGTACATCGTAGCCAGGCCCTTCAGCTCTTCAGGTGCCGAATGCCTATTTTTTCCTGTACCAGTGCCTCCCCAGTTGGGCTAGGCTGACATTTGACCCCGGCTACTGCTCTAGAAGCTATGAGGGAAGGTGAAGGCAGGTTGTGGAAGGCAAGCATTATCTTCTGAGGCATCTGCCTTAGACCAGACAAGAAGAGTCTGGTATCCTCCAGAAATGAGGAGGGGCTGTCTCTGTTAACACAGAGCACTCAGAGTAACCTGGGGGTTCAAGATACTTAGACATCCACCTAGGTAGCTGCATCCCTGGACTTGGTACTTAATAACCTCTTTAATAAATGCACCATCTCTCTAAAAGATATAGATGCATTTCCCCTTTAAAACTGCATTTTATGGTAGTATTATTTTTTTGGTATGAAAAAGTTAAAATTTCAGCCCTATAGTTCATGAAGTATCCATCTTAAATCTTTTTAATATACTAGTAATATTTCTCACTGTGTCTTGTTTCATAATGACATCTTAAAATAATATTAGTTGTAGTAAGCCCATTTGAAAATTTTTAACTTCCACGGAGAACTATAATTGCATCCCATTTACCTGAAAGCCTATAACCCCCTGATCCATTTTTTAGTTATTCCCTGAACAGTGTCCCAGACCACTCTGACATAATTTTGGTCCATTTTTGAAGTTTCCTTATGCAAGTCTTCTTAAAAGATTTTGTAATTTTTTCATAAAGGTCTTGTATATTTTTTGTTATATTTAATCCTTGTTACCGTATATGTTCACTGTTAAGTCATATTTATTTTTGGTTACATTTTCTACATAATTTTGGTGTATAGAAATGCAACTGAATTTTGTATAATAATTTTGAATCCAGAAAATTGGATTATCTCATTAATTCTTAAAATGTGTCCATGATTGAGTTTTCTATGCAGGTGATTACATCAACTGGGAATAATTACAGTTTTCTTTCTTTTGTCTTGTTATGACCTTAAAAAAACCATTTTAAAAATTTAATCATTAAATATGTTTGTCTTTTTTTCATACCCTTTATCAAGTTAAAGAAGTTTCCTTCTATTCCTGGTTGCTAATAGTTTATCTTTTATTAATCATTAAAGGGTGTTGAATTGTCTCATACTTTTTCTATTAAGATAACCATATAGTTTTTCCCTTTATTTTAATATGATAATTTAATGTTCTAATATTAAACCAGCCTTGAATTCTTGAGAAAAACCCAACTTGACCATGATTTTGTTATCTTTTTTATATATTGCTGAATTCAACTTGCTATTATTTTGATTAAGATTTTTAAAATCTAGTTCATGAATGAAATTGGCACATAATTATGCTTTTTCACACTATTTTCTGGTTTAGGTATGGAGGTTACATGAGACCCATAAACTTATGTAGGAGGTCTACACTTTATCTTTTCTCAGAAAGAGTGTCTGTAAGATTGTAGGGCATGGATCTCTTTAATAAAGCCATCTTGGTTTCTTTGTGGGAAGATTTGTAGTTACTGACCCTGTTTCCTTAATGGTTATAGAACCACTCAGGTTTTGTTTTTTCCCCCGAGAAACAGATTTTTCTAGGAATTTATCAATTTTGTTTAAGTTTTCAGGTTTATTTTGGATAACTGTTTATGATGTCCTCTTATTATTTATATCTGCAGCATTATTATCTCTACAATCCTTCCAGTTTTCTATATCTAGTATTGTCTGGTTAAGTAGGCAGTAAGTCAGTAAGTGTTAAGGAAGATTCAGGCAATAAAATGAACAAACATGATATAAAAAACATGACATCAAGCAAATATGAATTGCATATCCTTTTCAAGGGTACAGGGAGTTTTTTTGGAAATTACCCTGTGATAGACCACAAGGCAAGCCTCAACAAATTTCAAAAAATAATCAAACATGAAGAACATTCTCTGATATAATGAGTTAGAAAAAACAACAAAACAGAAAAGTCTTAGTTTTGAGATGTAAAAAAACACACTTCTAAAAAAAACCTAAAGTTTAATATTTTTAATTTGTACCTTCTATCTTCTTTTCTTGATCAGTCTTAACAGAGATTTTTTATTTATAAGTTGTTTCAAAATACCACTGTTTAGCTTTGTTGACCCTCTATATAATGTTTGTATTTAATTAATTTTTTTAAAATATTTTTAAATTTTTTGTTTTTCTTTTTCAAACAAGTTGTGAGCTTATTTCTTTTCAGACTTTCTTTGGTTCTAATGTAAGTATTTAAGGCTTCTGAATACCACTTTAGCTATATCTTAGAGTTTTGGTATATGTTATGTTCATTATTTTTCAGTTCTATGTATTTTCTCATTTCAATTAACATTTATTTTAGAGCCATGGAAAGTCCCTAAACATCCACACATACAAAAATAAATGTGTGTATTTATGTATAACATGTTCAATTTGATCTTTGATAAAATACGTGCATCATAATGTATAGGTATATGTATACATATATATATATGTTTTTTCCTTTAATCTTTCAGAAACACTTTATTTCAGCTTTTTTACAGCATGTAACTGGATTTTTCTTTTTATTTCAAACTAAGAGCCTATTATATTTTAATACATGAGTTTAACTTATTTACAATTAGCAAAAGCCATATGTTTAGTGGTGTGAAATGGCTTCTGGGCTAAGCAAATTTACAGGATATTCTAATTCTCTGTAGCCTGCCTTCCTGTTCCAACTAAATTAGGCACTTTAACAATCTTACTCTTTCTTTTTGCAGCATTTTATATTATGACTTCTGAAGAGAAGAAAGAAGACTATCCGTTTGTGGATATATTTGATGAAGATGAAGCAGAAAAAGACTTTATGTTGTCTAAACCTGTTTGTTTTGTTGTATTTGGGAAACCAGTAAGTTATCTCTTCTAACTTATTTGGTATAACTTTTTAAAACATTTTATTGAAGGATAATAAACATACATAAGATGACTCATAGATGTATATCTCGGTGAATTTTCATGGATTGCACACATAGAGACACTGAACATGATAGCACCTCAGGCCCTCACACTCTCTTCCTGAACACCTCGCTGGAGTATCTAACAACTTAATTTGGCCAGGGTTTTTGTTCTTTATTTTGTTTTCCATTTTTAAGTCGTTTTTATTTTTCAGTTACAGTTGACATATATTAGTTTCAGGTGTATACCCCAGTGATTAGACATTACATAACTTACTAAGTGATCATCACAATAAATCTGCTACCCATCTGACACCATACATAGTTATTAGAATATTGTTGATTATATTCCCTATGCTGTACTTTACATCCCCATGAATATTTTATAACAACTGAGTTGTACTTTTTTTAANTTATGATTTTAAAAATTAAACATTTATACTGAATAACTCCTTCTCAGCCATAAAAAAGAAGGAAATCTTACCTTTTGCAACAGCATGGCTAGACCTGGATAGTATTATGCTAAATGAAATAAGCTAGTCGAGAAAGACAAGTACCATATGATTTCCCTTATATGTAGAATATAATGCACAAAATAAACTAACAAACAAAACAGAAACAGTCTCATAACTGTCTATGAAGGGTTTTGTGTGTGTGTGTGTGTGTATGTTCACTTAATCCCTTCACTTTTTTCACCCAGCCTCCCTACCCATTCCCCTCTGACAGTTATGAGACTGTTTCTGTTTTGTTTGTTAGTTTATTTTGTGCATTATATTCTACATATAAGGGAAATCATATGGTACTTGTCTTTCTCGACTAGCTTATTTCATTTAGCATAATACTATCCAGGTCTAGCCATGCTGTTGCAAAAGGTAAGATTTCCTTCTTTTTTATGGCTGAGAAGGAGTTATTCAGTATAAATGTTTAATTTTTAAAATCATAATCTTATGTTACCGTATAAGAATGAAAACCACATAGTGTGCTAATTTTTTTGAGTGTTAGACTTTCATTGTATGACTTAAAATCTGACACAATATTGGTTGTAAATTTATCTTTCTCTCTTGTGCATCATATTTGAAAAGGAACCTATATTATCTTTGGCTTTATATTATGAAGCAATTAACTCATCAAAGCACTGTACAAGGACAGTTATTAGTAGTATGTGATCCAAGGTTATATCAGAATCAATTTGCATATAAAACTTTCTGTGGAATTTGTTTTGAGGTTCTCTGAATATGTGAAGAGGGGACAATATAAGGACAAATGGGAGATTCTCCCATTAATATCTGAAGCTACTGAGAGTCAAGGTGCCTCACCTTTGTCCACAGTGTGTTGTTAGTGGACCTATGCATTGTCTTTCCACAAAACAGGAAAAAGCCAAAAATGGATGTCATAAGATAGCTTTCCTTTCTAGGCAGTTCTAGAAAGGACCTCTAGATAAGAGTTATTTTCAGCCACTTTTCAGCGATTTTCAGAGTTGGTAGTTACCATTAGAGAGCCTGAGCTGGTTAATTAAAGAGCCTTTCCAGAACAGCAGAGACCAAAGGCTGGATCCTGTTTTTGACTTAATTTTATATGGACCCTGGGACAGATACCAATAAATGATCCCAATAACTTTATTATGTTTCTAAAAAACATAATAGAGTTTTAAAAGTCAGCAGTAAAAGTAACCATATGCAACTTACTTCATTAACGTGATCTTTTGCCTTTAAAATATGATACTTTTCAAAGATATCCATTAAGAAGGACTTTTTTGCTCTTGAAAGTTACTAAATGAAAGTCTCAAAACGTTCATGATTATGAACTTTAAGAAGGAAATAAAATGATGAATCTCAATATAATCACAATGATTTATATTCAAAATTACAAAATTTGACATTCAAAAGTGTATAATACCTGGAGTACTACTTTGGTACAGCTTTCTGGTTTTTAGGGTCTACTCTTCACTTATTTTGGAAAATAATTTACTTGATAATATAGTAATCATCAATAAAATCTTTTAAAACGGGAATATTTGTTCCCCTGACAAATAGCTATTTTATTGAGTTTTAAATAACATCTTTCTTTTTAAGGGTGTTGGGAAGACAACATTAGCCCGTCAGATAGCACAAGAATGGAAATGTATTCGTGTAGAAGGTAAATTTCACTTTCCCTCCCGATATTTTAGTATAACTTTCAAATATGCATAAAAAGTAAAGAATTTTACAATGAACACTCGTATAACCCATCTAATCACCATGTTTATAGTCTGTGATTAACATTTTGCTATACTTGCTATATCACACATTACTATCAACTCAGTGAATTATCTTTATAATAGCATCAAACATGTTTTGCCCTTCGGTTAGTCCTACTTTTCTTCGTAGAATATAGGAGGCTTTATGAAGGATCTTTGACTCCATGCTATTGCTTCCATTTCTCTGATTTCATAATTTAGAACTGTTGAGGATACGAGTCTTTGGGGTGTCTCTTTATGGGAAAATAAGAGAAGAAACTCTCACAGCTGCTCTTGGGAATATTTTCCAGGACTTAATTTGTAAATTGACTTGCATTCTTTGCAATATATAAGACAAGGGTTGATATCTTTATATATAAATATTTTGTTAATCAATATAACTTCTTATGCCCTCAGAGAAAAACAATCCACAAAAGTAGAAACAAAAATAGGCAAATATAAGAAAAAAGAGTTTAATCTCATTGTTATTCACAGAAATGCTAATTAAAATAACACTGACCCATATTTGCCTATCAAGTTGGCAGTAAATTTTTAAAGTTTATACAATCGTTGTTTGCAAGAATGTTATGAAATGAACATTCCATGGGCTGTTAGTGAAATTGCAGTTGGATACACTTTGGGGAGGGGGAAAAACACATATACACAAAAACTTTAAAATTTTCCTCTTTCTTTGATCAAAAAATTCATTTGTAGAAAATCTTAAAGAATAACAAATGTTCCATAGATTATTAGCAACTAGGGACATAATACAGCTCCTGGGTCCTCCCCTGTCATTTCTATTGCAGGATGTCTTCATCAAGGGAGGGAATATTTCCTCTGAAAAAGGAAGCACATTATTCATATTTCAGCTTTAGAACCCTTTTCCTGATCAGTTTTATCTATTCCATCATTTTTTGATGCATATTTTCCTTTTATACAACCAATGCACTAAATTAATGGGCTCTGGATATAACAGTATGGTTATAAGTAATATAGTCCAGATACTTTTGTGCAACACTTCACAATTTCCTAGTCACTGTCATATAGACAACCTCATTTTATCCTCATATTCTCTTGCATGTTATACAGTGTGTAAGCTCACAAGGCACAGAGGTGTTTAGGAAGTTGGCTTCCCCACGATGGCCAAGGTCTGTTCTCTGTGGCATACATTCTACTGCCTGGGCTCTTTGGTTAGACTTAAGTGACATCATGTGTGTAAAAGTGCTTTGTAAACTCTGAAGTGATATACAAATGTTAATTTTTGTTACCAGTTACAAAACACCCGAATGTGTTTCTTAATTTGACAATTCTAATACTAGTTTGTGCTAATATTTTGAATTCCTATTTCAGCTTTAACAGTTTTGGAAGAACTGATTGCCAGTGAAACCGAATCAGGAGTTATGGTAAACAAATCTAAATTTCAAAGTTATTATTTTTTTTAAAAAAAGCTCTGTCTCACAGATATATTATACAGTAATGTAAAATATGTGTGCTTTTCTTAGTTGCAGTCAATGCTGGTCAGTGGTCAAAGCATTCCAGATGAACTTGTCACAAAGCTAATGTTGGAGAAGCTCAGCTCCCTAGAAGTCTCTCACTTTGGTATGTTTATTTTTGTACATCGGTGGCTATCAAAGCAGCCTTAAAACTTGTGCTTTGTCTGTGGCACAAATAATTTCTGGAGTTGCTCGTTCTTTTGCCCTGGCACAGGTCCTAGAGCCTGAATTCAGTTGAGCAGCTCAGAGAGTTTTACTTCTTTTTATTTTTCATACTCTACTTTTGTAAAAACAAATTAAGTTTATGTGATCCAATCTTCTTTAGCATTGTGGGGTTTTTTTGTTGCTTTTTCTAAAATATGTCTTTATTGACTTCAGAGAGAGGAAGGGGGGGGAGAGAGATAGAAACATCAATGATGAAAGAGCCATTGATCAGCTGCCTCCTGCACGCCCCCTACTGGGGATTCTGGGCATGTGCCCTGACCCGGAATTGAACTGAGATCTCCTGGATCATAGGTCAGTGCTCAACGGTTGAGCCACGCCAGTCAGGCTAGTATTGTGTTTTTCAACAAAAGCCTCAAAAATCCGAGGTGGTCCTCCCAATGCTGACAGCTTCTGCTGACTGCTTTCCCATTCACCTTGAGTGTGATTACTAAGTCCTGTCAATGGTTTAGGTTTCTCTGTATTAATCCACACTTATCATGCAGGAACAGAGAGTAGAGTAGCCCCAGCTTACCCTCTGGCTCCAGATATTGGCAGGCTTCAGCCTGTTCATCCATTCTACCCCATGACTCTGGACCTGAGAAGTGTCCCTACACTCAAACAGAGGCTGAACTGGGGCTTGGGAATTGCCTGACCAGGGGGGATGAGCTGGGCAAGGCTTGAATTCAACCTAGGGTTAGGCATGCTGTCCCTTTCACCATAGTATCTATCCACCATTGTGATGCGTCAGACCTAGACGTTAATGCCAGCCTTTACGTCCCAGAGGAGACACTGGTCAAAGTCTTGAAAACAAGTTTGAAAAATGTTGTTAATCAACTGAGGTCTAGATTAATAACAGGTGCCAAACCAAACTAGGGGAGGGCTGATACAAGAAAGCAAAAAAGCAAGAACAGCAGGAGGAAACGAGCAGAGAAAGATCTGGCCCAGTTCCTGGGACAGTATCAATGCATGCAGTGGCTGTATTTTTGCAGCGGTGCCTTGAGCTCATTTAAAGAAGCTCGAATAGGATGAATGCCTTAGGATACATCCTATTAGGATACATACATACTATTTCAAAGTGTTTCAAAGACAACAGCAAGTGCAAATAAGGAAGCCAAGTTGGAAACTAAGGATTATAGCAAAACCAGAGAGAATCATGATATAACTCACATATCCAAACCCAAGATAACAGATCTCCCTTTCTGCTCTTTGAAGTTAAACTACTTAGGATTGCTTTTCTGGATAGTGTCCCACACATAGAGGCAGAAAGTAAGTGTTTAAGAAAGCTTAGGAGAAATTGAGACATTTAATGAAGTTTTTGATTACTGTGAGAGTTGTTGATCTAATTTTTTTTAAATAAAAGATTGTAATCAGCATGTTCTTAAGTGAGGATTTTGAGTTTGGCTTATTAGACACATTTATTCGTCTATGAACAGATGCTTAGTAGCTTTTTTAGGCATTGTATAGGATACCAGTTTTCAAGCTTTTTGGTCTCAAGACTCCTTTATGCTTATAAGAATTGTTGAGGCCCCAAAAGAGCTTTTGCTTACATGGGTTATATGTATTGGTACTTATCATATTAGAAATTAAAATTAAGAAATGTTTAAAATATTTGTTTAAAAAATAATAAAACAGTTACATATTAACATAAATAGCATATTTTATCAAAATAATCACATTCTTCAAAGAAAAATATTTAGTGAGAAGAGTGATATTGTTTTATATTTTTGTAAATTTCTTTAATGTCTGGCTTAAGAGAAGACCTAGCTGGATTCTCACATCTGCGTCTGCTTAATCTGTTGCAATATATTGTTTTTGTTGAAGTACATGAAGAAAATCCAGCTTCACACAGATTGGTAATTGGAAAAGGGAGAGTATTTTAATAGTCTTTAGAATATTTGTGGATATTCTTGATCCTGCACCAAAACTTGAAAAGGGGAAGTTTAAGGTTAGTTGCATTGTAGAATCTGAAACCATATCAGTGAACTTTTCAAACTCTGTTCCATTAAAATCCATTGATCTGTCTTGCACTTGGAATGAGTCCTTAACCGAGGCATGATTTTGTGGCACGAGGCATTGGTCATTTGGAAAATATTGGTCACTGAGTTTTGCAGACCTTCTACATGTTTACACATTTCATTATACAATATCAAAAACTCACATCTGTTAATATTACCACCAATCTTATCAGGACAAGTTTTAAGAATTGGGATGTTGTTTAAGCTTAGGGCAGTAGATACAAATTTTCCAAAATACTAATTTTCACTTGCATTTTGTAATTGGCAACAAATACTGTCCGTTGCTGTCCTTGAAGTGAGAGGCTCACTCCATTCACTTTTTATAAAATGTCTGCCAAATATCCAAAGCTAAACAACCATAATTTGTCAGTTGTTCTCCCAAGAAGAATAGTTCCATTAAAATAGCAGAAAAATCTGTTAAAGGCTTTCAGTTCCCACTGAAGGAGTTGAGACTTTATCCTATTAATAAGAAAAAAGTTTCTCAAGCTATTGCTTGACATAATTAAAGAAATATACTAAGGAAATTAATGTGATGGTGGTAAACAGGGTAAATTTCTATGAGAAGATTTAGGTTTCTGGGTAGGGATACAAGCCAGTGAATGTGCTAAGCCAAAATCACTGATAATTTCTTATACTGTACGAGAGGTACCTGGGTGTTTTATTACTCCCTATAACTTACATAAACATTATACACATATATAGTCTGTTATATTATTAAATAGTAATTTAAGAAAGAAAAATAATATACCGTACAACCTCTATAAAATACTTTTACCATTCATCAAATTATCTTTACGAATATGAGTTAAAAAAATTGTTAGCATGGAATTTCCTTCCATAGGCACCTCATGTGCCTAAAATAAATTGATTCCGAATTTTAAAAGATATCTCCTCCTAACCCAATTATTTCATTTATTATCAGAAAAATAGTATTCATGTCTTACATAAACATACTTCCTTTACTAGTGATTTAAAAGTTTTGATAGATGATTTTAAGACCTGCATTAGTATTCAATAACTAGATGATATTTAATAAAGTAATAATAATAAATCCATGCTTTCACATGGATAATATAAAACTTTAAAAATTATATTTTATTCTACAGGTTATATTATCACTGAAATACCATCACTTCCACAGGATGCCATGACTACTTTGCAGCAAATAGGCTTACTTAAAAATTTACATTTGAAACCTGATATTATAATCAATATTAAGGTAAGAAGTTGTTTTTTAGTATAGTTAACCATTCTTTTTGACCGTAGTGAAAATAAAGGAATGTTTACAAAAATTTTAAGTAGTTAGGGAAATACTAATTTATCATAGAGACTGAGCTATACTCTCTTATACCTCTGTACTTTTGCACCCAAAGCTCTATCCACAGAGGACACCTCCTTGCCTCTTCACCAGGTTTAAATCGTAGTCATCCTTTGGAAGTCAGTCAAGTATCATCTGTTAAGAACTTTCCACCCTAGGGCCACTCCCTGCATACCAACCCACCCATTAACTAATTCATTCTTCCCCCACCCCCCACCTGCCTCCCCATCACATTACTTCTCTGATGACCATTTATATTACCCTCTTTTCTCCCTCATATTACCTCACTATATTGTCATTGACCAGTTTCCTTCTGGACTCAGCCTTACTTGAAGGCAGGAACCATGTCTTACATAAACATAAACTATCACAATATTTGGCACCTAGCTGACACCTAATAAGTTTGCCAGTTTAATAAAATGAAAGGACAAACAAATGATTTGGATGTATGAATGTTAAAGAGCACTACTAGACTGGTTACAAATCAAGGCTGGATCCTGTTCCCACTTCTCTCCTTTCTCAGCTGTTAGAATTTGGTAAGCCACATTTAGTTGCCTCAGTTTCCACTTTACAGAGATGATAATAACTGCCTTAAGGGGTTGTGATAAGAATTCAGTGAGGTAAGGACTACTTGTTTATATGAAAATGAATAAGCTTTTATATTCATACCCTGATTCCCCAAAAGGCTTGACAGCTCAAAATAAATTCAGTGGTTCTCAGCTCGGGTGTTGGGACCCAGTGGTGTGTGGAGGTCAGCTGTGAGAGAGAGGTGGCACTGCAGTGCTGAGCGTGCAGCCCCAGCCACAGGTCATGGTCGGAGCCAATCAAAATCCCTGTGACCTTGAGACTGTCACATGTGAATATGTGTATAATGGAGAGAAGAAAAGATCTCAAACAATTAACCGAAGCCAAATATAAAGTCTAAGTCATGGAAAATATAGATCGTATAGGAATATTAAGACTTGGTGGAGCAAAAGCACACAGGCTGTACGGCCCCAAATGTTTACTAAATTTGGGGCATCAATTGGGTCTAAGTTTGATGAGCCAGAGTAGAAGGGGAAGTGTGGCCAGTTATATAAAATTCATGTTGCCCATGAAAAGACAAGCCATTCCTCAGGAAAAACAACTCATTAAAAATGAGAGAAATATCTTACATGGATCTTAATGTAAGAGATTGTTAGTGTAGAGATGAAATCCTGAACCCCATTTATTTTGGAAGTGTAATAGTGAGTGTCCACAGCAGTTTCTGCAGTGTAGCCAAAGTATAATCAGAGGGACTAATGTGAGACAATTTGGTACAACACACACTTCTCTGATGGTTTAGCCTTATTTGGGGATAAAACCTGGAATTTCTAGAACAGAACCTCTTAGCCTGGGATTCATGAATCCTTCAGCATCCATGAACCTCCTGAAACTACATGCAAAATTTAATGTGTATGTGCATTTTTCTGAAACAAAAGCCTATGACTTCCATCATTCTAAAGGGGGTTTGTATTACAAAAAAAAAAAAAGAAAATGGTTAAGGGCCAGTAATCTGCAGCAGTGGTTCTCACAGTATGGTTTCAGAACCAACTGCATCAGCAGAACTCAGAAGCTTGTTAGAAGTGCAAATTCTTGCTGTACACCTGAAACTAATATAAAATAATATTGAATGTCAACTGTAATTGAAAACTTTTTTTAAAAAAGAAAGAAATATAAATTCTCCAGCCCCACCTGAGAACTATGAGTCAAAAACTCTGGGGGTGACGTCCAACTCTGTGTGTTGAAAAGCCCTTTATGTGACTGATGCCCACTGAAGTTTGAGGACCACTACTCTGAGGCATGTCCTTCAGACTTAACCCCATGTTAATCACTTTCTACGCGTGAAAACAGGAGAACTCAAGGCAATAGTCTTTGTCAAGGACCCACAATGTGGGTATTCTGTGCAGCTAAGTAAGAGCATACACATTTTTAAAATTACTTGAATGAGTTGAGATTTTTTTTGTGGAAAATTTGGAAGCCTAAATAAAAGTCTTGCCTCAATAAATAGCCCTCCCATCTCCACATAGAGGGGGCCTGAAGAAATCAGAAAATGAGCAAGGGAGGTTCTAAAGTTTCTTGCTTTCTTTGTTTCTCAAAGTTGTGATACATGAGCTGTCACATCAAAATCACTGAGGATGCTTGTTAAAATGGCTAAGCCTCACTCCAGACTTAATAAGTCACAAGGGGGAACAGGAATTTCTACTTGCAATTCCCTATATATAGTTATACCCTAATGTTTGAGAACCACAACCATAGACCATCATCCAGAGTTTTTAATCCTGAAAATTATTCAGAGCAGGATTTATAGCCTCAAACCCTAGTTATCATTACTAATGGTGCCACCAGAGCATGGGCTATGGATCAGAAGGCCTGGTTTCAAGTCATAGTTTCCCCTCATGACAGGGTGATCTGAGACCAGAATCTTAACCTGCCAGAGCAGTTCTTCTCTGATCAGCAGAATAGCTTTAATTATAATATTAGATTACTTCTCTTTAATTATAATATTGGATTATTTCTCTTACATGATTAGCTTGAGAATTGAGTCAAATATTACACATGTGAAAGCACTTTGAAAGAAGAAAGTTACTCAGAGACTTTGGCTTTTTTTTTTTTTTTTTACTATCCAGACTCAGTTTTCTCATTTACAAAATGAAAAGGTTAGACTAGAATAGATGACCTTTCAGGTCCCATTCATGATTACCATTTTATAAAAAACTTCACCCATAAAATTATACCTATTGTCAATACACAATATATTTTTTTGTTGAAAATATGTGGATGTTCCCCCATTTTCCTCCATTCTCATCCCTTTTTTTAATTTTATTTTTTTCAACTACAGTTGACATCCAATATTATTTTATATTAGTTTCAGATGTATAGCATAGTGGCTAGATATTTATATAATTTATGAAGTGATGCCCCAATAAGTCTAGTACCCACCTGGCACCATACATAGTTATTACAATATTATTGACTATATTCTCTATGCTGTACTTTATATCCCTGTGACTATTTTGTAACTACTAATTTGTGCTTCTTAATCCCTTCATCTTTTTCATCCAGCTCCACAACCCATCTCCCATCCGGTAACCATCAGTTTGTTCTCTGTATCTATGAGTCTGTTTCTGTCCTGTTTGTTTTGCCCTTTAGATTCTACATGTAAGTGAAATCATATGGTATTTGTCTTTCTCTGTGACTTATCTCACTTAGCATAATGCCCTCTAGGTTCATCCATGTTATTGCAAATGGTAAGATTTCACTTTTTTATGGCCAAGTAATATTCCATTGCATATATGTACCACATTTTCTTATCCTTTTGAAATTAATGTGACAGAATCCTCCTGTGTATCTTTGCAGGCTAACCTGATTTTCAATTGTATTTCTCTGACTCTTTCTACTGTTATTCTAACCCTCTTTTACCATCTAAAACTTACGATATTTTTCTCACATATATTAATTTTGGATAAAGAAAAGTATTTACGTAGCTTAAAAGTAGTGTCTTGTGTCTCTTGGCACATGATGAAACCTGATACAAAATAACATTTAAAATACTATTATTTGAACAGGGTTTTAAGGAATTTTTTTGTTTATGTATTGCAAAATATATGAATAGGGAGTAAAAGCATATTCAGCATGTTTTAAATGATTGCTAATGTTTCTTAGTGCCCTGACTATGATTTATGCCAGAAAGTTTCTGGGCAAAGGCAGCACAGTACTACAGGGTACATCTATACAAGAGATCAGTGGGACCCGGAAGTCATTGAGAATCGAAGGAAAAAAAAGAGAGAAGCCCAAAAAGAAGGAAAAGGAGAAGATGAAGGGGAAGAGGAAGAAGAGCAAGAAGAAGAAGAGGTACTATCCCAATACCATGTACTGTACTTTTAAAATTTATGACAGTCTTCAAATTGGACGGCACAGATACAGAACACTTCCATTAGTGCAGCAAGCTCCTCCACACAGCTAGAGGGTGCGTGCCCTTCAGAGGACTGCTCCCTCTCAGCCCAGCCCGGCCAACTATTGCCATGAGGGACAAGTGGCCTATTTTTACCAGGTGGTCTGGTTTCTCCAGATACCAAAATCAGCGTAGCGTTTTAAAACAAAGTAGTTGGCAACTAATCTGAACATTTTAAAACACCATTTAGACTGTGGAAAATTTGATATTAAGAAATCTATTAACAGGTGATGGGCTGGATTAAATTATGGAAGATAGGAAGGAAAAGGAGAAGGGACGGGGAAAGAAAATAGAAAAAGAAGACAGGAAGATAATTAAAGACAATTAAATGCTGTGGAAGGTAATTAAATTAGACCTTCAGGCTGGCTTCAGCTCCCAGGGCTGGGTTTGTTGTGATCTCTGCCTAACAGCACAGCCATGTTCAGAACAAACCTGCTGCACACTTGGGTTGATGGTGTGAAAGTGTTCGCCTTTATATACACACAAATGTAAACAATCTCCCTGAACTGTAATAGCTTTGTTACTGCTCTCCTGGCTTCCACTTTCCTCCATCCTCCTCACCCCATTCTATTCTTTCCAGAAGCCAGAGCCATTTTTTAAAATATGACCCTCAGTGACTTTCTGTTACCTGTAGATGAAAATCCAAACCCCTCACATGGCTTACAAGGCCAAGGACCCGGCCTCTCTGATCTCATCCCCACTGTCTCAGCCTGTTCACTTATTCCAGCCATGATGGCCTTCCTGCTAGTCTTCAGCTATGCTGAATTCAGTCTCACCTCCTTCAGCCTTTGCACCTACTGTTTCCGCTTCCCTTGCCTACCGCCCTCTCCTCCAGATCTTCTTTATATGCTTGCTCCTTCCTGTCACCTCTTACCCCAGAGATGACATCACTGGAGACCATCTAGAAATATACCCTGCCATATGTGATTTTAAATGTACTAGTAGCCACTTATCTATTTATTTATTAATTAAATATATTTTTATTGATTTCAGAGAGAGGAAGGGAGAAGGAGAGAGAGAAACATCAGTGATGAGAGGGAGTCATTGATTGGTTGCCTCTTGCACGCTCCCTGCTGGGGATCGAGCCCGCAACCCAGACGTGTGCCCTGACCAGGAATCAGACCACGATCTCTTGGATCATAGGTTAATGCTCAACTGCTGAGCCACACCAGCTGGGCTAATAGCCACTTCTTTAAAAAGTAAAAAGAAACAGGCAAAAGTAATTTTAAAAATATATTTTATTTAAGCCTGCCTATATATCCAAAATATTATTTCAACATGTAATCAACATAAAAATTCTAAGGATGATGCATTCTTTTTTATCCTAGGTTTTTGAAATCTGGTGTGTATTTTACATTTACAGCACGTTCCAATGTACATTTCACGTGCTCAATTGGTATGTGTGCCTAGTAACTGCTATGTTGGACAACACAGGCCTAACCCCTTACTCTGCTTTGTTTTCCTCATAGCACTTGTCCCTGTCTGAAATTATGTTATTTGTTTACTTGCTTATTATCTCTACCCCACTAAATGTAAGCTTCATGCAGCAGGAACGATATCCCCTGAGCCTTTAACAGTTCTCGGTATACAGTAGGTTCTTAATAAGAAGTTGTGTAATGACTGATGTACGAGCATGCTAGCAAAGTCCTCTGCTACAGAGAGAGAAGAGCGACAACATCTTTTGGAAAGGACAGTGTGTATTATGCTTCTTTGAAATGTACAATCTTGGGCCCAGTAATTTTACTTTTAGGAACTATATTAAGGGAAAATATTAGCAATATAAAGATTTACCTACAAAGCTAGTCAGTGAAATGTTGTTTATAATTGTGAAAAATGTGAAACATTCTTGTTGTTCAACTATAGAAAAATGATTAAATAATCATATATTTAAGGATATTAATATATTATTTGACCAATAAAATAGTATTGGTATTTCAAATAAGTTATAAATTGGTTTATATCGTAGATAATATTTTTCAAATGGTATAAAACAGATTTATATGCATTGAGAAAAACTATAATTAATAATTAGATAATAAATATGATAATAATAAGATAGTAAATATGATATTGAACACTTTCCAGGCCTTGGGCTGAGAACTTCTGCATGTACTATTCCCACTGCCTTGAAATGTTCATTCTCCAGGAATCTGTGTGGCTCTCTCCCTCATTTCCTTCTTGGTTCTGCTCAAATGTTACTTCTTCGGAGAACCCAACCATGACCACCTGTTTAAAATAGCACCTTCTCCCATTACTCTCCATCACCTATATCCTGCATTATCTTTCTCCCTCATACTTAAGCACCACCGAACTTGTTATATATTTATTTGTCTCCTTGTTTATGCTTTTTATGCCCCAACTGGAATGTGTGGTCTATGATTCCCAGTGTCTTAACTGGTTTTATTCACTATAATATCTCAAGCTCCTGGAAGTGCCTGCACATAGTAGGCACCCAATCAGTTTTTACTGAATGATGGGATGAACGAACTAGTAGCTCAGATGTTCAGAGGAAATCTAATTTCTTTATTTCGTCTCTAAAAATCTGATGTTCTTCCCCTGCTCGTCCCTACTCATTGAGGAGCACAAAGAAATTAATAAGTATTAAAGTCAATTTCAAGTTTTATTCCATCTGATAATGGCCCTTTACGGTGTTTAATCTCTCTTAAATAAAAATCCTCAGTTTCTAATTTTCTCTTCTGCCTGCTTCTCACACCAAAATGGCATCTAGGTGTAAGGAGGGAGGGATGTGGCTTGTAAATTAAGTAATCACTAATATAAAGATATTTAAAATCTCTTCTTTTTCATTTAGGCATTTATTGCCGAAATGCAGGTGGTGGCTGAAATTCTTCAACATTTAGTTCAGAGGCCTGAGGATTATTTGGAAAATATTGAGCACGTCGTTCAACTTTATAAGGACATACTTCTTCATGCTTTAGAAGTAAGAACAAAATATATTGCTGAAAATGGGAATGTTGATGTTTGTGTTCTATCACTGGTTAAATAGCTCTCACATTTATTCACCCCTATATATCGCCTATCTGATTCTCCTCCACTTGAATTAGGTAGAATGATATTAGAATAAGGCTTCTATCCCAAAGGCTGTTTCACAAAACAATGTCATTTTACCCTTACAAAGCATCAGTGTTGCTGAAAAGTGATAAATGAACTACATTTTTTAAAAGTCACTAGGGGAATTCATTTACAGTTGGAGATTGAAAAACTATGTTAACAGACTATTTTGTAAAATCATTTTCAACCTGTAACTTACAGGTTTATCAAAACAAATGTACACTTATGGTACATCTTTTTTATTCTAAATGTTTGTTTAAACTGCAATCTAAAGAATTATCCCCAGATTGGTTTCTATGGGTATCCCATTCAAAGTTGATTATATGTGAACATGATAAAAACATTATATATATATTATAATAAGAAACTTTTAATTAAAATAATTTGCATTTAAAAATATGGTTACTAAAGTTATAGTTCTGTGAAAATCATATTTTATATGGCCAGAAACCCAGGGAACACTGCCAAATTTGTATTGGAAATTTATTCAACAGACATTTATTGAACTTGGGTATCTGGCCAGGCATCAAGCAATAGAACAACAAAGACAAATAAAAAAGTCTTCAAATTGCCTCTTTCCCATCTGATAAACTAAAATAATTTGTTTTATGCTGTTCTATAATATTTATATATTTTTAAAGACAAATAAGTGGATCATTTTAATTCTCATCATCTACCCCTCAAAATGAGAACCAAATTTGTTTTTTTATGTATGACTTTTATTCCTCTCTTCCTCCTCTTCTATCCCTGTCCTTTAAACATAGCTTTTAAATTTACATGTCTATGTGTAGCATTCTTTCTTTCTTCAACAAAAATATCCTTCAGTGGCTGGCACTGGGTATGAAATAAAGCATAATTAAAATCAGATTCAGAAAATTAGAAAACTGTATTCACAGCGGATAATAAGTGGAGGTAGACTCATCAAGATTAGGGACAAGGTCTTACATATTAGCATCGCCGATGCCCAGTGCAGTGCCCAAAATATGGCAAGTGGTAAATGCTTAACTGATGTTCAGCTGAACAAGTAATGAAATCACAAAGGAAAAAAATGATAGCTTCAATTTCATTACATGTAAGACTAGAAATTAAAAATTTAATAAACCTCACTCAATTAAAAGATAAACTGGAAATATACCCACATCAATTTGAAAAAGTCATAGAAGTGATTTTTTTAACCTATAGGTTCTTACCCTTCTGAGATAAATAGACCACAGATATGAGCAGACAGTTCACAAAAATGAAAGACAAAAGAGTAATAGGCCTCTAGAAAACTGTTCAGCTTCACTGATTATGAAGAAATGCTAATCTAAATAATGAAGTGTCATTTCCATGATCAAATTTTAAAAGATGAACAAGGAATAAGACTTAACAATAGCAAGAATATGGTAAAGCAAGCACTCACACCCTCCTGAAAGGAACAGAAATCAGTATGGTTATTTTGAATAGCTTAGGCACTGAAAATAGCATACATTATATCATGTATAAAGCAATTTAGGGTTCACAATTTCTTCATAGTGTGTTAAGATTCTGATCTTGTATTCAGTTTCCCCAGTGATCCTAGGTTATAAGGTTTCTTTTCTATTATCTGTAGGAAGTAATGGCTGAACACAATCCCCAGTATTTCATTGAGCTAGATGGAAATAAGCCCTCAGAGGAGCTCTTCATGGTAAGTGCAATTTTCAGTAAGAGTATCCCACAGTTTAGAAAATCAAAAGGTTGTTGATTGGATTATACTTATTTTAATAAACATCAGAAATATGTTTACATTTTTAACCATTTATGGTTTGAGAAATTCATTTTAACACTTCAAAATTTGATGTTGTATTTATTCATTTATTTATATTTAAATCAAAACTATACTTGAATCTAAAATCTCTGTATGACAAAAAGTGCCTCAAAAAAAAGGAAAGGCAGCCCGGCCGGGCGTGGCTCAGCAATTAAGCATCGACCTAGGATCCAGGCGATCGGGGTTCGATTCCCGGTCAGGGCACATGCCCGGGTTGTGGGCTCGATCAATGACTCTGTCATCATTGATGTTTCTATCTCTCTCTCCCTCTCCTTTCCTCTCTCTGAAATCAATAAAGATATAATTAAAAAAAAAAAAAAAAAGTAAAGGCAAATAGCAACCAATAAACTCATGATGATGCCTAATATGAATGATTAGAGAAATGCAAAACAAAGCCATAATGAAATACCACTTCATACCCACTAAGATGACTGAAATTAAAGAGAGAGAAAAACAGGCACTAGCAAGTGTTGACAAGAATGTGGAAAAATTGGAACCCCTCATACATTGCTGGTGGGGTTATAAAATGGTGTGGCAGAAGGGCAGAAGCTAGTCTGGTGAAAAATAATCTGAAATTACAATTGAAAGTCTAAGGGTGAGCAGCTGGAAGGATGGATTTGACATTACTGAGAGGGGAAGACTGGGAGAAGTGTATTTGAGTTGGGGTGGTGGTGATGGTGGATCATGAGTTTTTCTTGCACGTTTAAATCTGAGGTGACTATTAGACATCTGTAAGATAATAGAAATATATATTGGTCTCTGCCCTGGTTCCTGGCACAGAGCTCCCCAAACCTTTATAATTTCCTAAGTGATAAAAGTACCAGGAGCATCTTTTGTTCTATTGATTTAACTCTGAGTAGGCTCCTGGATGGTAGCTGGGCACCTGAAAGACCAGTTTATTAAAGGACATGATAAAGGATACAGATGAACAGCCAGATGAAGAGATACATAGGGTGAGATCTCAGGGTCCCAAGCTCAGGAGCTTCTGTCCCTGTGCAATTGGGGTGTGTCACTCTCCTGGTGTAGATGTGTTTGCCAACCTGGAATCTCTCCAAACCTCATACTATAGGGATTTTATGGAGGAATCCTTACATACACATGATTAATTAAGAACTCTGTTTTTAGCCCCTCTCCCTTCTTTGGAGGATAAGGGATGGGCTGAAATTCCGAGCTGCTCTTTTCTTTCTCTCACATCCCACATTCAATCCATCAAGCATACACAGCAGGCTTCTCCTTCAAAATGTATTCAAAATTTGAGCACTTTTTGCAACACACTTTCTTCAAGGTAGAGGGCAGAAACTCCAGTAGGTCTGGTTGAAACTTGCCAAGCCTGTTAAGGCCCCATTTGGCATTGGTACCCTGGCACTTCTGCCCACATTCCACTGGCCAGAACAACTTACATGGAGAATGGGATGGGGAGTGTACTTTACCCATCATGAACTAGGAAATTAACAAGGGAAGGGAGGGAAGGGTGAATTGTGAACAAATAATATAACCTACCACAGTTCCCATGTACCACAATTACCATGTACCATTTGTCTATCTCACCATCTCTCATCTCAGACTCTATGCTTCAAATGCTTCCAGAGTGTCTGTATTAGTTTCTTAGGGCTGCCATAACAAAGTACCATAGACTAGGTGTCTTAAAATGACAGAAATTTATTCTCTCATCATTCTGGAGGCTAGAAGTCCAAATCAACATGTTGACAGGGTTGTGCTCCCTCCAAAGCCTCTAGGGGAGGATCCATCCTTGCCTCTTCTGGCTTCTGGTAGCCCCAGGCATCCCTTCACTTGTGGCAGTATAACTCCAATATCTGACTCTGTCTTTATATGGCTGTCTCCCCTCCGTCTGAAGAGGTTCTGTAGAGCTAGACCTCTAGGGACATGAATATTTGAGGACCAGAGGGAAGACTATTATGGATTAAGTTGTGTCCCCTCAAAAGATATGTTGAGATCTTAACCTCCATTACCTATGAATGTGATTTTATCTGGAAATAGGAACTTTTCTGATATAATTAAGATGAGGTCATGCTGAATTATGGTGCCCTTTTGCAATGTGACTGGTGTCCTTATAAGAGAAGAGACTCAGACACATAGGGAGAAGATGGCTATGTAACAACAAAGGCAGGGATTAGAGTGATGTATCTCTAAGCCAAGGAACACCAAAGATTGCCAGCAAACAACCAGAAGCAAGGAAGTATTCTACTCATGAACTCATCACTTTTTCAGAATATTTGAGATGTTCAAATGCCAATGTATTTAAAGATTTGTTCTTTAAATTTAGACGGTTATAGATCGACTTAAATTTCTGAACCTAAGAAGAGCAGCTATTTTAACAAAACTTCAGAGTGCAGAGGAAGAAATGAATGACACAATGGACACTGTAAGTTAATTTTAACTGTTTGAAAGTGAACCTTTTTACTATATGTTGTTACCTTTTGTATTCTTCCAGTGTTTAAAAGGAGTTTCAGAATACCTCTTAAAAAGATGGATTTGCTTTCTGGGAAGAAGCTGTAATATTAGCACAATATTCTTATAGACACCAAACACAACAAAACAAAAGTTATGGAACAAAGAAAAACAATAAAAGCAGAACAACTAATCACAGGAATAATGAGAAAAAAGAAACTAAGCTCACTTTAAAAATTTGCAGCACAAAGAAAGCAAAGACATAAAAGCCGTGAACTCTATAAGCACTCATTCATTCCTTCAATCATTCAACCAATTCTTTGGAATAAGTGCTGTGTTCCTGGCACTGATGTATTATGGATATGATGGTGATCAAATTATAAATGCTAAGTGCTAAAGGAGCCACAGGGCTTTAATTGGAGATTTAATCTATTCTGGAAAGTTCAGTTTTACCTATATGAATAGAAATTTAGAAACAAATACCAGAATTTTAAATAGATATTATAATTCAAATAAAATAAACTTTGAAGAAAGGTCCTTTTGTTATCCTGTAATGTGTAATCCTTAGATGTCAATGGGTGAGCATAGCTGGAATATGTGCTGGGACTTCAATGACACAAACTGGTGTTGAAGGCAAAGAAAGGTGGGCCTGATGAGCACAGAGGCTGTCAAGAGCCTTCTCTTTTAGGTCATCAATGAAGGAAAAATTTGAAGTATCCATAGAACCTGAGGGAATTTCTCAACTAGGAAGTTTGTCCTTAGACATTATTGCCTAAGGTTATAGTTCATAAGATATATAACTAAGGATGCCTGCCCTCTCTTTCATGAAAGGGCAGAAGTTGTGACTATGTACAATGGAGTCATTATTTATATCCCTCTAGCAGTATTTCTCCCTGGCAGTCCAGACCACCTCCAAAAGAGTCAACTGGGAAGCTTACTACAAATACAGATTCCTTAGGCCCACATCCCAGACTGAGGGAACCAGAATGTCTGTCTGGAGGTGGGACCTTGAAATGTATTTTCACAAGATCCAGAGAAGATTTCTATCCCCACTTAAGTTTGAGAATCCCCCACTTTATTGGGACACTGAAGAATCCTGGCTCATCATGGTTGATAAATTTTGAAGTTCCTGTGTGTTTTAAAGAACTTTAGATGTATGCTCTTCAGCTAAAGGCAGGTGAGTTGAAAATCAGTATAAAAGAGTTGAATATAAAGGACTGAAATCTCCAAGGACTTATGAATGGCTAATAAGCACATGAGAAGAATCTCAGTATCACTAGTCATTAGGGAAATGCAAATCAAAACTACAAGATTACCACCATTCAGTGTTAAGAAATACATAAAAAATTAACAATACATAAAAAATACATACATATGTGTATGTGTATCCAAAAACGTGAAAAATAACAAGTGTTGAGAATGGTGCAGCTATTGTGTAAAACAGTTTGGTACTTTCTCAAAATGTTAAACACAAGTTTACCATAAAATCCAGAAATTTTAGTCCTAGGTATGTACCTAAAAGAATTGAAAGCAAGGACTCAGATATTTATTTGTACAGCAGTATTCATAGCAAATAGCTAAGAATGTCCATCAGTAGATAAACAGATAAACAAAGTGTGTTATGTAGACACAGTGGAATATTCAGCCTTAAAAGGAAGTTAAATTCTGATACATTATATGAAATGGTGTTTGTAAAATGCATAAAACCAATGGTAATATTCAAAATATCCAACATCTGTATTGAAGGGGCAAGGCTTACTTCATGGGCTAGTGACGTGTGCAGTCACACACAGCCCCATGCTTAAAAGCACCCCACAATTAGTTTAATGATGCGCTGTCACAATGTTGAAATTCCTCATCACTTTAGAACAAGAGCTCTGTATTTTTATTTTGTACTGGGCCCAGCAAATTAGCTGATGCTGTGCAGGGTAATTCACCCAATCACAATGGAGCTGGCAGCAGAGCTGAAGAGCCGTGGCTGTGCCAGGCATTAACTAGGTAGTTGCTGGATCATGGGAGGGTCCAGAGGTTCCTCAGCTAGAGGCTCAGGTGGGAGGGGCGCTTGAGTGTAGTGGCTATAATTGCTGACTTTCTTGTGCCTCCCTCTCACCGTGGCTGTGTCTGGGGTTCCTCTTACAAGACCCTCTGGTTTAGTCTCTCCAGAGAGGAAGCCTCCAGTCTTCTGGTTGAAGGAGAGGTGGTGGAGGGCTGAGGAACAGTTGGCTGACAGTGAAATGGAGAGTGGCTCTGGCCACTAGCATTTTAAACATTTTCTTTAAAATCCTTGTAAAGATTTCAACCTGTCTTCCTGTCTTCTGCTCTCCATTCCCCACCTTCAAGGTACCTGGTGTCAACAGGTCCTGAGCCTCTTAAGGATTTTACGGAGTGAATGAACTTGATCCTTGTTGTCCCCACACCCATCCCTGTTGCCACACTGAGCCTTTACCTTTCTCTGATCTAAGTCAGCTACCACTCAGCCATCTGCTTTCTAGCTACAAAGATGTGTAGCCATGGAGGGTCCCCTATCCTATCAGTTCCTGTGGTCTCTTTTCCCAGTCTGTGTCCTCATGAGTTTATTCCTCTGCTCTCATTTTCAGGAGGTTTTAGGGAAGCAGCAAACACAAATGCATGTTATCTGCCTTGTTTAACCAGAGGTTGTCCTGATCCTTTTTAAAACTGTAATGTCCAACTCATTTGAAAGCTCATCTAATCGCCCCTCAGCACCTGTAAACATGTGGTCCAGGGACTTGAAGTTGAGAGAGAAATGTGGTCTGCTATTAAAACATTTTTCCCAAGTTGGGACAGGAAATAAGGATGATAAGGAAAGAGTGGCCGCTTCTCACTTGACTGGCTCATCGTCTGTCGACTCCATGGAGAAGGGGGGATAGCCCCACCGACAAGATTCTCATTCTCATGCAGCTCCCTTAAGCACTGACAGTTTCCTTTATACTTAGCTACTTCTCCCAGCCTTCAGTTAGGGACATTCATGCAGCATCTCTGCACTGTGCCTGCCTTTTTACTCTGATGCAGCAGTACTCCAGGCAAGACCATAGCCCCCACTCTCATCTGTCCTCCACAGTCAACTCTAGAGCCAGCAGCTAATGTGAAATCCACACCTGAAGGTGGGAGGGAGCCAACCTGGACCCTGTCACCCTGCCAGTTGCCCACCATGCCATCTCTCTCCAGTTTTCTTGTCCCCTGCTAAGGTAGCACAAGGAGAGTGTACCTTCCAGTAATCTGCAGTCTATAGAGAAGTGATTGTTAACTTCTCTGGAGATCATCAACAGAAAGAATTGCTGAGGGCAACTTTACATTCTAAGAAGAATGAGGAGCTAAGTAAATGCAAAAATAATCTGTATATACCAGCTTACTATTTAAAAACTTAGGTAAATTGACTAAGAATTTGGTACATTTTCAAACCTTTTCAATAAAAATTTTTCAGTATATGTTTTCTGAAATAGATAATAGAAAGTGCTCTAGTTACCTTATGCTCATTCCACCTTATAACAGAAAATGGTCAATAAAATGTAAACAGGGTCTTATAACAGAAATGAAAACTGTATGTATGCCTATTACATTTTGGACTAGTACAGAATGGTTGCAGTTAAGAAATGCCAAAATTTGCTTTCTAAATTATTTCTTAGTTACAGCACTATCAAATAAGAAACAAAATAATACCATTAATTTCGGCAAAACTTATGCCCACATATTTAATGTGGTATTTGTTTTTAATAGGATGAGCTGTTTCATACTCTTGCATCTTATAAACTTATTGCACCAAGATATAGATGGCAGAGAAGCAGATGGGGGCGATCATGTCCTGTGACTTTAAAAGAAGGTAACATTTATCCAGGAATGGCAGACTTTTCTGTAAGGTAAGATTTTTCAGAACTCAGTTTCAAAACTTTCCCATATCTCTTTTCAGTTGTTTATGATTATGGTATATTTAAAGTTTTCTAGGTAAAATGTACTGTCTGTCATCAGAAGAAACATTAAAAATGTTTTTATTGAACCCACGTCCCTATCTTCTCCCACCTATGCCGGCACCACCATTTAAAGTATTCGTATTTGGACCTCCATGTTCAGGGAAAACAACACTTTGCAATTTGCTTGCAGAACATTACAAAGGAAAGGTAACTACTTATCTAGCTAACTCTAGCTTTCTACCTATTTATACTTAATTATACTTTGTAGGATATGGGGATTTGTAGGATTTGTACTGACTTTTCCTAATTTTACATGTCAATTGGGTAATTGTTCTTCTGGGCTTGGAGGGGGGAAAGCATTCCCCCTTGCTGCTTATTGTAGCTTCCTGACCATAGTCCCTCCCTGCTTCCCGAAAGCCCACAGATTTAACTTTTGTATAAACATTCTTGTACATGTCTGTACAGGTGATGCCACCTATTACCTCTCTTGGTTCCATTGGTCTACTGTATCCTGGGCATACCCCTCCTGGCTCACAAGTTAATATGTGGAGAGAGTTCTCCACAACATACTCACTCCTGTCATCATTCTTGGTGATTTCAGTAGCTACAAAGATGACCCTCTCAAATCCCTGGCCTGTCAATTCCTTGACCTCTCCCCTCAGTGATCTTGTTCTCCACACTCAGTAAGTGGAGAGAACTTAGTTTTAGCTTGGACTAGATAAATAGCAGTAGAGGTGGTAAGAAGCTGGCAGATTTGGGATATAATTTGAAGACAGAGCCAAAGTGTTTGAGGAGGGATTGGAATGTAGTGGAATGATATGAAGGCCAATGTGGCTAGAGCGTAGGGCGTGAAAGGAGGAATAGGGTGTGAAGGTGGCTATAGATGTAGAGCAATGCAGGTCCTAGGAAGGAATCTGGATTTACTCTAAGTCCTATTGAGTTCTTTTAAACACAGGGGTAACATCTTCTATTTGCTTTTGGCTTTTTTATTGTAAAATATGATGAACATAAAGAAAAGTTGAGGCTCAGTAAACTATCACAATACAAACCCCCATATGACCACCACCCAGGTCAAATGTGGAATGTTGCCAGCATCCCAGAAGGCCCCTTCATGCCTCTTCCCAATACCATCCTCTTATTCCTTCCCCAAAGGAAGCACTGCCCTGAACTTCATGGTATTCACTTCCATACTTTTCCTTTATGGTTTTACCATGTAAGTGTGCATACACATGCCATAGGTTCGTTTTGCATGTTTTTCTTTTTTTTTTTTTTAAATATATCTTTATTGATTTCAGAGAGAGGAAAGGAGAGGGAGAGAGAGAAATAGAAACATCAATGATGAGAGAGTCATTGGTCCGCTGCAGCCTGCAACCCAGGCATGTGCCCTTACTGGGAATCGCACCCCGATCACCTGGATCCTAGGTTGATGCTCAACCGCTGAGCCACGCCTGGCTGGGCACATGTTTTTCTTTTAACCTTATGGACTTAAACAATTTATGTTCTTTTTGCCTGGCTGCTTTGATTTAACATTATGATTGTGATATTTATGTTTTATTGCATATAGCTATAGTTTTTCATTTTTATTGTATTTACTGATTGAATTATATTTTATTTACCCAGTTGAGTGTTAATAAAACTTGGGTTAACTCCAGTTTCGGGTATTATGAATAATATTGCTATAAACCTTCTTGTACATGTTTGTCACTGCACACACACATTTTAATGGTTAATTATAAAGTCAAATATACACGTATCATTCGACTCAGTAATTCCACTCCTAGATATTTATTCAAGGGAAATGAAAATGTGTTCACAAAAAGACTTCTTCAAAAATGATAATTACTACTTTACTGATAATAGCCAAAAAGTGGAAACAACTCAAATGTCCATCAATAGATGAATGAATTACAAAAGCCAAAACTAGTATATTCATACAATGATACTACTCAGCAATAAATTGTATACAATTACACTAATGAATCTCAAAAACATTACGATAAAGGGGAAAAGCTTGGAAAAGATCACATAGTAACTATAAAGAAGCATAAGGGCACTTTAGGGCTGATGTAAATATTCTATATCTTGATTGTGGTGGTGGTTATATGTATATATTTGTAAAAACTCATCAAGCTGTATACTTAAAATGGGTACCTTTTATTGTATGTAAATTATACATACAAAGTTGATTTTTAAAATATGTGTAACTTGAAGATATATTACATGATGTATTCATACATAGATATATAATCCTTCATGAAAAATATGATGGAATTTCTATGAAAGCAAGTATTGAAAAATCAGTGAATTCTGAAAATAACATACCTCAAGTAGCATTAAGGTTTTTAAGATAGCCTTGGCTGGTGTGGCTCAGCTGGTTGAGCATTGTCCCATGCACCAAAGGGTCGCCTGTTCAATTCCTGGTCAGGGCACATGCCCAGGATGTGGGTTCGATTTCCGGTCGGGGTGTGTACGAAGGCAACCAATAGATATTTCTCTCTCACATCAAAGTTTCTCTCTCCCTTTTCCTTCCTCTCTCTCTAAAAATAATAAAACATTTAAAAAATAATATTTTTAAAAGATGTTTAAGATAGGTAAAGATATAGATGTAGGCACAGATACAGTTAGATATAGATAGATATAGATATATAGATATAGATGAATAATGTGTTAAATTTTACAGTAACTTGTGCTTATGTTGGTTTTCTCAAATATTCTTTACAGGTAGTTGACTATGCCAAACTTGTTCAACCACGTTTTGATAAAGCCCTTGAAACGTTAATAGAAAATACTATAGCTGAAGCCACTGAAGAGGCTATTAAGACTGTGAAAGAACGGCTTCTCACAGAAGCAGAAGCTAAAAAACAAGGTGATCTGTCTTTTTTAAATGTGTTTTTTAAGGTTGCTACCTACCTGTGAGCAAGGATTTGGTTACTCATCTTGATATCTCTGGCACCCTTGCGTGTTAAAGTCTCTTAATAAATGGTTGAAGAAATTAGTATTATATCAACCTGATTCATAAACAGAGAAAATATTTCAATTCTAGACTTCTCAGGAAAGAAATCAGAAAGAGCTTCCAAATATAGATTGCTTAACTTTTATGAGTCTGCTTGTCGGCCAGAGACTGAACAGAATTTATACCTTTATCTACACCAGTCATGATACCACAATTCCACCTGACTCATGGAGTTTGGTGTCGCTGCTGCTATTGTTGTTTTAGGTTTGTATGTTAACTCTGACTGTAAATTAAATCTTTCTATTTGGGGCATATTTTAAATTCAATAAGTCATAATTCTCTAACTTTAGAGATGAGAAAACTGAGGCACATGAAGGTTAATGGCTTCCTGGGACTCACCCAGCTAATAGCCAAGACTTGAACCTTGGTTTCCAACATCTCCATGTTCTTTCTCCTGACCATTCTGCCCCTTCCTGTATCTCACTTCTTATCATATATTTAAGAATAGGCACAGGAGTTTGGGGTTTTTTTATTTTCTGTTTTTCTCAAGGAAAAATTAGAGTTTTCATTTCATGGCTATTTTTGAAATTCATAGATTGGCTTTGGTAGAATTTATGTGTATAGTTGGCATCCTTGTACCAAGTCACATTAGAACACATGGAAGTAGCTTAATATCTAAACATCTCCTCTTAGTGGAATACCCACAGTGCAGCACTCGCTATACACTACATGGGCTATTTCTCACTTTCAAAGATCTGGAAACAAAATTTGAGATTAGCTCCAATATTTTAGACTAGATTAAGCCACCACTGTTTGGATTTCCAGAAGCTATGGCAGTTTACTGTACCCTAATAGAGCCATCACTGCCTTGATTCCAAGTACTCTTTTCCTAATAAAGTTTTTCTCATTACAAAAGTAATGTCAGGTAATATTTATTGGGTATTTACTATACGCAGGCCATGCTAAATGCATTGCATGAGTTACCCTATTTAATCTCATAACAGGCTTATGAGGTAGGTATTTTTATCTCTACTTTTAGTACGTTAAGAAGCTAAGGCTCAGACGGGTTAAGGTACTTGCCCACAGTTGACTTCCAGCAAGTGATTAGAATTCAGTCCATTGGGTTTCAAATAAAAGCTGTGCTTTTATCCTCTGTGTCTCTCAAGTGGTCAGAGAAAACTGGAAAGAGCAGTCACACCCCAGAGCTGTCCCTTTAAGAATTTGATGCAGCCCGGCTAGGCGTGGCTCAGCAGTTGGGCATCAGCCTGGGATCCAGGTGATCACGGTTCGATTCCCGGTCAGGGCACATGCCCGGGTTGCGGGCTCTATCAATGACTCTCTCATCATTGATGTTTCTACCTCTCTCTCTCTCCCTCGCCTTTCCTCTCTCTGAAATCAATAAAGATATATTTAAAAA